ATTGATTAAAATTCTGCATTTAAGAACATATAATGTAAATCGAACGATATATGCATTTAAACAAAGTACTAAAGTAACAAACTTTGGAACAACATAAATATAACACTAGCATAAGTCATGTATACAAGTAGTGGGCTCAGAACTGTCAAGGTCAATCCTCGTGTGGCTGGTCGGGTTGATGTGGTGTCAAGATACACTCCCTAGGTCGATCTCTGGCTCCACGATATAGGTTACGACGTACCTCTGGATGTGGAACATCTAAGGCTGATTCGAAGTCAGCATTCAAATCAATTCCATGACTATATGGGGTATCATATGAGGATTGACCAGTAACAAAATCTGGATCTGGTGATGGTGGTGTTAGAGTAGATGGATGAAATGGAGGCGGAGTGATGAATGATTATGGACATGGGATATAACACTCTGTGGTGATGAATGGTGATTGAAGGGTCTGTGGCGGATGTTGGGTGGCCTGAGATGAGTGAAAATATGTAGGTGGCCTCACTGGCTATGAGTGAAAAGGAAACTGCGATGGAACGTAGAATACACCATCATGACGCTCAGGTATCAGAGGAAGAGACCAGTTGGTGGCTTGAACCTCAGTGAGTCTACGGTGTAATCCCCTGCCTTCCTTACGGTCCCTAGGTTGATTCACATGTATGACTGGATCCTCAGTATTGTCACTCTGTATCAGAGGGTCAGATGAAGAAATAGGCTCCATAATGCGATTCAAATCATTCTTCAACACTAGCCTTGAGGCACGAATATATCTTGCAGAGTGATCGTACACTCGCCTTGAGGCAAGTGAAAAGTGTGTGTCTCTGGCCTCCATCTCTCTACTAATGCAGTGATCAACGAGAGGTCTAATGAAAATTGACACATGTGAGTAATCCCGGTAAATCCCACAAGCTCTAAATGTGAAAGGATCTCTTGTGGAACATCATCCAAACCAGTTGGATTAAACCGGCTCTTCCTAACCTTCAAAATAGGATGTTTCCAACCATTCCCAATATGTTTAGACACGTGAATCTTCTGTAAGCGCAATAATAAAGGATCATCTGGTCCAGGATGAATGATTCTATTTTGTCGAAAAGAAGAAGCCATCTAAAAATTATATATATATATATATATATATATGTGTGTGTGTGTGTGTGTTAGTTTTATTGTTACTATCAAATATAACATGTTCAATAAATTCATGACATACATCCTAATAATATAATTTCATATTTATTTATTTTTATTAGCTATCATTAATTAAATTATATGATTAATAATTGATTTCAATTAACTTGTATCACTCCAAAAATTTATATTGCATAACTAATCTTCTTATTTCATTAAAGATTAAATTATTTAATTAAAATAACTTAATCTTCAAGAAATTTAATAACACTCTAAAATAAACATTTAATAAATAAATTTATAATTTCATTATAAATAATATTACATAATTATAATTATAATTATTTATTCTAAACTATTTAATATGACTCCAATAACTTAAATTACCTAACTAAAGTTCTTATTTCATTCAAGATTAAATAATTTAATTAAAATTACTTAATCTCATCTTATTAATATCAACCTAAATTAAAAATTTAATAAATAAATTTATAATTTAATCATAACTAATATTACATAATTATCATTTTAATTGTTTATTCTAAACTATTTAATATCACTCCAATAACTTAAATTACATTACTAAAATTCTTTTTTCTACCAAGATTAAATAATTTAATTAAAATAACTTAATCTCATCTTATTAAAATCACTCTAAAATTTAAATTCAATATATACACTTATTATTTCATCATAAATAAACTTATATAATTCTAACTATTTATTCTAAATTATTTAATATCACTCCAATAATTTAAACCATAAACCATAATTAAATATATTTTCTTTTTTTAATTATTTAATAAACTCAAATTTTTGCTACTATAATTTTAATATAAATGCGTATGCTCAATTTTAATGCTCTTAATTTTTACCTTCTTTTTTTTTTTGTAATTATCTATTCATTAATCATTAATCAATCCTTTTATTTATATTCTTAAATGTTATTTAATATAATAAACATAATTTATGTTATAATTTTTTTACACTTTTTTTTACTTATCATTTCTTATATAATTAATCAACCATACAACTATTTTATATTTTTCTATTTTGAATTTTATTTAACTATTTATTATTTTATTTAATTATTTTTTACAATTTTATAAATTTTTTACTTCAATTTATAATTATTCTAAATGCAAACTCTAATTTTTTTTCTTAATATTACTATTAAATTTTAAATATACAAATTCTGATTATTTTGAGATATCTACAAATTTACTAAAATTATTTTATTTTTATTTTTAATCTAATATTACTATAAAAAATATTTTAATCTACCTTTTACTATTATTAATAAATATAAAATTTAAATTTTTTAAAGAAATTGAAAAAACTGGATGGGGAAGGGGCAGGGGACAGAGGCTGGGCGAAGGGCACGTTTTCTGGCGACGGTGGGTTCCTAACGACGGCAACAAGTTCACTGGACGGTAACGTTTCTCCGGCGATGAGCTTCTCTTCTCCGTTCAGCCTGTTCTCTTAACCCTCTCAAAGTTTCACACCAATAACACCACAACTCACTCCAAACCCAATGGATTTGGACAGTCTTCTGTAATGGATCACGAATCTCACTCAAAACTCAATCTAAAATGATAAAAAAAAATACCCCAACAAAGGTCCTAATTGGCAACAATGGCGGTTTGCAATGACCAGCAAAAAAGGAGAAAGGAAGAGGGAGCGTGAGTTACCGTTTCTCCGACGACACGTGGCTCAATCAACGTGTTTCGTCTCTGCGTCAAACGAAAAGATGATTTCATCTTCAGAGACGAAACACTTTGATTGGGCCACGTGTCGTCAGGCGGGAAACTTTATTTCAAATATTTTACCCTTTTCGTTAGTTTCTCTTATAAACAAACCCCCCGTTTTATATACTCTCTAAATAGATTAATTTAACCTTGTGATTCTTTGAGAAATGACCCTAGTTGATTACCTCGTACTATAGTAATTAGGTTTATTTTGACCCGTGTACGACCACGTGTCAAATTGGCGCCGTTGCTGGGGAATGCCTTTCGGTCTATACAATGCCCTAGGTACATTTCAGAGATGCATGGTGAGCATTTTTTCTGATTTTCTAGAGAATTGCATGGAAGTCTTCATGGATGATTTTATTGTTTATGGTACTTCATTTGATGCATGCTTGGATAGCCTTGCTAAGGTATTGCATAAATGTGTTGAGTCTCACCTTGTTTTGAATTATGAAAAGTGTCATTTTATGGTTAGGCAAGGTGTACTCTTAGGACATGTTATTTCTGATGAGGGTATAGTTGTTGATAGTTCCAAGATTGATGTTATTGCTTCTTTACCTTACCCTACATGCGTGCGGGAAGTGCATTCTTTTCTTGGTCATGCAGGTTTTTACAGGCGATTTATCTAGGATATCAGTAAAATCGCCCTTCCACTTTCCAAGCTTCTGCAGAAGGATATAGACTTCTAGTTTGATGACGAGTGCAGGAGAGCTTTTGATCAATTGAAGCAGCACCTAATTTCTGCTCCTGTCCTTCAGTCACCAAACTGGGAGTATCCGTTTGAGCTCATGTGTGATGCATCAAACCTTGCAGTTGGAGTTGTACTTTCCCAGAGAATTGGAAAGACCCCTCATGTCATATCATATGCTTCCCGGACTCTGGATTCTGCACAGGCTAACTACACCACTACAGAAAAAGAGCTTCTGGCTATTTTTTTGTTTTAGATAAATTTTGTGCTTATCTGTTAGGAACTAAAGTGACTGTTTTCTCTGATCATGTAGCATTGAAGTTCCTATTAAAGAAGCCAGATGCTAAGCCCAGACTCATCAGGTGGATGTTGTTGTTACAGGAGTTTGACATAGGGATCAAGGATAAGAGTGGAACTAAGAACCTGGTGGCGGACCACTTGAGTCGAATTCCACAGACTTTGGAGCCTCTACCTATTCGTGAGAACTTCCCAGATGAGCAGCTTTTAGAGCTGCAAGGTAAGGACCCATGGTATGCTGACTTGGTTAACTATCTAGTTGCCTCTGAATTGCCTACTTATTTTAAAAAGCATCAAATAGAGAAACTTAGGAGTGAGACTAAATATTATGTCTGGAATGATCCTTATTTGTGGTGTATGTATAGTGATCAGATTATTAGGCGTTGTGTGCATAAGCTTGAGATTCCTTCCATTTTGCATTTTTGTCATACACTTGTTTGTGGTGGTCACTTTGGGCCACAACGCACTGCTAGGAAGGTCTTAGATACAGGTTTTTACTGGCCCACATTATTTCGAGATTCTTACACCTATTGTAAGAATTGTGAACAATGTCAGAAGACGGGTTCTATCTCTCGTAGAAATGAGATGCCTCAATAACCATTATTATTTTGTGAGATATTTGATGTTTAGGGTATTGATTTTATGGGTCCATTTTCTGTCTCATTTGGTTTTGTTTATATTTTGTTGGCTGTTGATTATGTCTCTAAGTGGGTGGAGGCCAAGGCCACCCGAACTGATGACTCTCATGTTGTTGTAGATTTTGTCAAATCACAGATTCTTTGCAGGTTCGGAGTGCCCCAAGCAATCATCAGTGATCAAGGAAGCCATTTCTGTAACAGGAACATGACAGCCCTACTAAAGAAATATGGTGTCACTCACAAGATTTCAACTCCATACCATCCGCAGACTAATGGACAGGCAGAGGTATCAAATAGGGAGTTGAAACATATTCTGGAGAAAATAGTTCAAGCAAACAGGAAGGATTGGAGCAAGAGGCTTGAAGATGCACTATGGGCTTACCGTACTGCCTACAAGACCCCTTTGGGGTGTCCCCCTATAGAATTATCTTTGGCAAGGCATGCCACCTTCCGGTGGAAATTGAGCACAAAGCATATTGGGCAGTTAAGAACTGTAACTTTGATATGAGCCAGTCCAGATTTCACAGGAAGTTCCAACTTCAGGAGTTAGAGGAGATTCGGTTGGAAGCCTATGAGAACTCCCGCATGTACAAAGAAAAGACAAAACTCATTCATGATAAGATGTTGCTGCGGAAGGAATTCTCCATAGGCCAGAAAATGCTTCTCTACAATTCTCGCCTCAAGCTCTTTTCAGGTAAGCTTCGTTTAGGTGGCTTGCCCCTATATAGTAACTAAGATTTTTCCATATGGTGCTATAGAGATTTTAGAGCTTGGAACAGATAAAGTATTCACAGTGAATGGCCACCGTTTGAAGCCTTTTCATGAAGACACACCCTTGGAGACCATTGAGGAGGTTCGCTTGTTAGCGGCCACTTATGCTTGATTAGGGAGTGCTCCTCTGCCTTTCCTTACTATATTTTACATTTTCATTATACATTACATTGAGGACAATGTAAAGTTGAAGTGTGGGGGAAGAGTAATAGGTTTTTATTATTTAGCATTGTTTTTGTTTTGTTTTGTTTTATTTTTCTTTGTTGAATTGGAAGTTGTTGAGTTAAGACATTAGTCATTAAGGAGGATAGAGTTCCTACATGATTTCATTTTTGCTTCTTCCTCTTGATATATGTGAATTGAGTGATTGATTTTGATTTGTATGATTGAGTATGTTAGACTTTAGCTTTGTGAGCTTTTGAGCCTTATTTTTGGATGGTTGAAATTCATGCCATTCTTTTCTTTCTTGTGTGCTTTCCCTCTTAGATTTTGTCATTCTAGAACTTGTTTTGATTCTTCTTTAAGGCTACAATTTTCATATGCAATTATGAATATGATAGAGGCATTTCTTTCAAATTTTTACCCACTTGGCCATATAGCTTAGCTTGCATTTTGCCCTTTGTTTAGCCCCTTTGAGTCTTATTGACAATTCTTTGGCTTCTAGCACATTATAAGCTTTAAGTGGAAAACGATGTTATACCTAACCTTAGGAAATAGGGAGTGCATTGGTTTCATTAATGTTATTGCATTTCAAGTGTGGGGGTTCAGAAATAATGCAAGAAGAAAAAAAATAAAAAAATAAAAAAAATAATTTTTAAAGAAAATAGGAACTTTTGATGAATGGAAAAGGAAGTCCAAGGAGAATAAATGTATGTTATGGCTTGATTTGTCTAAGAACTAATGTTATTCCTATTCTTTTTGGTTGTATCTTGTCATATCCTCATATTTCCCTACCCTTACCTTAGCCCTATTACAACCATTGAATAAAGTCCTCTTGATTTGTGTTTGCATATGATTGTAAGTAGTGGATAAGTAGAAAATTAACAAGCTTATAGTAATACATTGTCTTTTGAGGTGACTTGAGTGAAACACTTTGAACCATACACTTGAGAGTTGAGTTGTATACACCATCTTGTGAGATCTTTCATGCTTGATCTATACACTTTGAATGATATTGCTTAGCTTGCATTTTTGAGAGGTTGGGAGTTGGATGTTTGATTGTTGTACAACTCTTGATGCTTTATTTGATCTTATGTCCCTAAGTTCAGCACTTCTAAGAATTCATTGGAGAATTTGTTCATTTTTTTTTATTATTCTATGATTTTTTAGGTTACATGTTTTTATTTGCTTGATTGTGTCTTACATGAGGACATGCAAGAGCTAAGTGTGGGAAAATTTGATCAATTGGATTTTTATAACATTATTTCCTCTAATTTCTAGCTCATTAATCATCTTTTGTGCCTAATAGGTTGAATTGGATCATTTTATGATGTTTAAATTTTATTTGGGCTTTATTTAATTTTTCAAATTAGCACATAATTAAAAGTCAGAAAACTCTAGAATTTAATTGAATTGTGCTAATTTAATTTACCAAATTCTAGAACCATATGCTTTTAGATAAGTTATATTGATAATGACCCTTTAACCAATTTGTCCATTGATTCATTACAGAATTGGGAGGGTTCTTATGTTTTAATTTGGAATGAAGTATTCCTTGTACTCCAAAAAAAGAATCCTTTATTTCATTCTTAAGAAAAAAAATCTTCCATGATATTGAAAAACATATCTTAACTTATACTTATCTATGTTAATGTTGATTACTTGGTTTTGTGATAATTAAAAAAATACATATGCTTGTGACAAAAAAGAGACGTCACAAAAATTTTGTGAATTCGTATTACTAGTATTGTGTATAATCGAAATAAAGTGAATTATACTTTGATTTGTTTTATCAGTTATTTCTGTATTTACTTCATTATTGTAAATGGATCTATTTATCATTTTTTTTTATTCCAAAAAAAGTTGTATATTGATCCTAGGAATACTAATAATATATAGAAAGATATCTATGTATATCCTTTTCAGAAATTTTTTTTTAAAAAAATGTGATTTACGAGTTAATCAAACATTTCTTTTTTGTAATATCTACAAAATATTTTTTTCTAATTCTAATCTTTTAGTATCATAAGTTGTTTTGTTCGAATGAATATTTATCTTTGAAATTAGAAGTCTCCTTTTCCTTTTTTCTTTTGTAATTTTTTCTATTTGTTTTATAATAGTTTTTGTTTTAGCATTCAGGTCTTTTTTTTTTTTTTATCAATGAACAATTTCCCCAATTTATAGATTGAATTGGAATGGTTGATTCAAAAATAATTGAATTATTTTTACAAATTGTTGAATCTTTTTTATTTTTATTCAATTCATTTATTCTTTTGAGTCTAACAAATAATAAAAATAAAGAATGAAAATTTATAAAATTAAAAATGAAGAGTTGTTTTATTTTATTTTTTTAGAAATAGAATGCTTTTGCTGATCCATTTTGCAATATCTTTTGAGATATTTAGAAACAATTTTGTTCTTTCATTTAAAACTTTTAGAACTCGAAAAAAATAATTTTTCAATTTTTTTTGAGTTCTTTAAAAATAGGTTCAAAAAAAGAAAATTGATTTTTTTGATAATCAGAAAAGGGCAATTCAACTTTCCTTCCCCAAATTGTTAAAAAACAGATATTTTTTTTTCATTCTATCTTTTTCCTTTTCATTGGATTGTAGCTTAGATCTGTGCCACGGTTTTAGATGAAAAGAAAATAAGATCTTTATCTGAATATCGTCTGTTAGCCATTTTTGCGAAAATTCTGTTTCAGATAATTGAATGCCATTATAGGTACATTTAATTTACATTTCTCTCTTCCAATCCCTATAATCTTCTGACCATTCGAGAAATTGAAAAAGTAGTATACAAACGATATTTTTAATTATTATCCATGAGGGTAATTTAATATATTTTCGAAGAATCGATTGGGTTATTAATAAAAAAACCTCTTATTCCTTAAGCAAATATAAAGTTATCCCAAGCTTCTGCTATTTCTATACGTTTTTTTTTTTGCATTTTTGTTTTTTTTTTTTGTCGTTCTTCTCTTTTTTTCTCACTTTCTTTTGCCTTTTCCTCTGTAAAATCTAAAATTGGAAATTCTGTCTTTTTTCAAATCCAATTTTGGAACAGAAAAAAGATTTTCATTAACTCAAAACTATATAAAAAAAAGAACAACCATTTCTCAAATTTGTCCAAAAAAAGGGAGGAATGCACAGTTCTTTGAAAAAATTTTCAAGTAACTATTTTACACCTTTGAGCACGTATGGATCCTTTGATTATGTCTCGTTGAAAATCTGGTTGTTGTGAATAACGTAGTAAAGCCAATTCATTTTTTTTAGTATTCTCAGTATTTCCAGTATCATTATGGGTACCCTTATTCTGTTTCTATAAATTTTAGTAAAAACCACTATACGTTTGGCTTTTCTAGAACGAATCTGAAAATTTTCTGCTTCATTTTTTCTTCTCAGTTGTTTTAATTTGTCGATAAATTTGTATGACCATAGGGGAACTTTTTTTACTGATTTCTTTTATTCCAATACATTTTTTTTCTATTTATATTTACTAGTATTTTATTGTTCAGATTAGTTCTAATTGCATCAAATAAAAATTTGATTTTTTTGTTTTCTTCGAAATCCAATTTTTCTTGTTCATGTTCTGGAAATGAATAATAAACTATTTTAAAATTCAAGCTTGATACTAATTTTTTCAAAAATTGATTAATTAGAAAAAAAATTCAGTTAATAATTTTTTTCTATCAAATATATGAATTTTATGTTCAAATTCTGGATAACTACTATTAATATTACTATTCTTATTAGAAAGAAGTATACTATGAATCTTATTTATCAAAATCCGAAGCTATTTTTCTCCTTGTTGATCTTGTACAAATTCTTCTCTTTTTTAGATAAAATATGAGGAAAAAGATCATTTTTGGTGGATCTCTTTTGTTTTTGTCTAGTTCGTGCCATTTGCAAATTTCTTTTGACATACATTTTTTTTTCAATTTCATTTCTTTCTTGAATTTCTAAAAGTTTCTTAGAAAAAAAAGGAGGGGGTATTCTTCCTAAATAATATAGAAAGGTAATAAATAAAAAAACAAGAAAGATTTTGGACATAGAATTTTGAAATTATGACATAATGTATCTATTCGATCGAATAGATACATTAGATTGAATTGAATTATTTTGCTGTACCCAAACTAATATCAATTCAATCCATTTGATTAATAAAATGTGACCAATTAACCAACCAACAAAACTATTTGTTACAAATAATATTGTATTGTTGCATCGAAACAAATAAATGTTAACTAGTCTTATCAATATTGAACTTGATAAAAAGAACGGGTTTAATAACTAAAAAATAAGATTATTAAAGAATATTCTTTGAATACTAAAATTACGTATTGAATTTGGATTCTTGTATCCATAATTCAAAAACTTTTTGTGATTATTGTCGAAGAACTGAAATAAAAAATACGGTAGAGCTATGACAGTTATTGTATGAGGTCTACCCAATGCTAAATGTAAAGGCACATAATAGATCAATATGAACATCATGAGTTGTCCCGTAATAAACGCAACTGTTGCTGATACTTTCTTCTCGGTCCCTTCTTCCATAACTCGAGCTCAAAGAAGGAAGAGATAAGATGGCCTTATGGAGAATGTGGTTAGAAATTCATAATAGAGTCCGACCACAATGATCGAATTAATTATCTTCATGCATAAGGATACTAGATTATCCAGTATAAAAGATTGAAAAATCATCGCAAACCTCTCTTTTTCTTTTCTATTGCAATTTCTGGATTCTTTTTTTATTGCAATTTTTGGATTATTATATAATGATTTTTCAACTTTCCATATATATATAGAAATAGAAATAGATAGACTAGAAACAACATCTCTTATCTCAATCACACCAAAGCCAGGGATATTAAATGAATGGAATTAGTATATGGATGAAATATAATGAAATAGAGCCACTTTGAGGTTCCCTATGAAATAAGGCATGGAACGGAGC